AGGCTAGCAGAAACAAACAAACTGGCATGTGGCCAGTCTTATGGGTCTATTTATAAATTAGAGACATGCAGTTTTCTTATGTACCCAATAACATAATTCAAAATTAATGTGATGAGATAAAAACAATTTGGTCAAATACTCTCAAATCTCAAACAGGAATGGTTCCCATCATTCTTTAATTAAGGAAGTTATGCTTGCTCTACCTTTTTTTTGGTGGTAGGGGGTGGGGGGGAGTAGAGAGGTGTGTATTCCTGAAGCTTGAACTCAGGGCCTGGATACTGTCTGTGAGTTTTTATGTTCAAGCTTTTTTGAGCCATAGCTCCACTTCTGGCTTCTTGGTGGTTAAATAGAGAAGAGTCTCACAGACTTCTTCCCTGGCTGGCTTCAAACTGCAATCCTCGGATCTCAGCCTCCTGAGTAGCTAGGATTACAGGCGTGAGCCAATGGCAACAGCTCTTTTTCTTTTGTAACTGCAAGATTAATGCATGCATATTTAATGCTGGAAAAAAAAAAAAAAGACAGACACCCAAAGTCCTCCTCATTCCCAGCTGGCAGTTGTCTCTCAATTTGGAAGATTTAACTCCACTGTGTCTGATTGTTTCTTTTTGCGGGTAACTCATTCTAATTGGTGAAATAGACATTGGGTCCTTTCTAGATTCTTCACTGTGGCTGCTTGCACAATTTCGCTTATGTGGCCACACTTATCTTAGGCAAGTTCACTGGAAAAGCTTTGACGATTTACTTCCCCCACCCCCTCCAAAAAAAAAAAACAAGTTTCCTGTAAAGACCACACTGCCCTCTGTAAGCCACCCCGTATATGAGCAACCAAATAGCTCCCTGTCACAGAGAGGTACCTAGCCCAGTGGTGAATGGTTGGAGTTAGAGGTTACTTGGTGTCATGTAAACACAGGACCTCCAACAGCTTACAGTAGGTTGAGGCAGTCAGCTCATATATCTGAGTTTTAGATTCCTTAACTCTTGAATAAAATATGTCTATTGGAGAGTTAAAAATCCAAAGATGACAGCCATGGTGGTGAAAGTATTCTGTGAACTATAAAAATGCTATATAAATAGCAGGAGAGGAAATTATATATATATATATATATATATGTATGTATGTATGTATGTATACTCGTGTCATACAAGACTACATAATTAGTATAAAAATGCATGTACCAAGGGAGAGAAAGTCACTGTGCAACTGGCAAGGTTAAAAGTCTTCCTTGAGCCTTTGGAGACATGAAGAGTGGTTGGTTGCCCATGTCCTAAGTGGTAGTCCCACAGATAATCCTGGCAAAATCCTGATGTAACTGTTTTCTGGGGGAGGGGAGGCAGTGGTCTGCAGTTTGAATAAGGCCCCCCAAAAGTTTGTTCTGGCCCTGTCAAGGCAACTGCACCTGGAGCTCCAAATTCACTAAATATAGGAGCTTTTTTTTTCTCTCAGCAACATGAACATCAGTATCTGCCTATGTCACATACCGAGTGACAGGCCCTTGCAGGAAACAGTTCCTGCCGCTGTGAGGCCGTGGAAGTATATTTTACATAGGGGTCACAAGAGTGCCGTAAGTGGAAGGCAGCAGGAAGTGAAGAATCAGGGCAGTTCTGCCTATGGGCTAGAGGTGGGCACCATGGGAGCGCACGGGAGCCCCTCCCCTTATTCTCCAGAGAAGAATGGGTGTCTTTCCTGTCTCTAGCCCAGCAGAATGACTGAATAGTGGTCTCAGTAGCAATGAAAGTGGTCCATGGATCCCCTCTAAGAGCCCTTGGGGCCCTGTACCCCAGCTGAAGCCCCTGGTGTGCAGGAAACACAGGTTAGAGATGTCTCTTGTGGATTAAGTCACTGAAGATGACTTACACACACATTTTTAAAGCTCCAAAATTTATTGCTGTACATTTTCTCATAGCATTTACTATGGAAATATTAATAGTGCAAATATTTATTTTGGGTTTTATAGCATTTGAGAGATCACAAAGCTTTTGATATCTTTTGCAGTCATTTATGATCTATATTATTCAGTTTATATTACTTTGAAAATTTAAACAAGTAATCTTGTATTCAAAATGATTCCATGACGCTCGCTAGGTATCCTCTTTGGGGGGAGGGGAGAAGCCTGGATGCCACAGGGGCACTTTCTTGATAATACATCTTCCAACAGTTGTGTAATTGCGTGACTCTCTGTTCAATTACAAAGTCATTTGACAAATACATATATTATGTGCCGGCACTGTGTGAGGCCCTGGAGATGTTAGGATGACAACACACAATCTTAGCTTTCACGGTGCTTCCAGTATCAGAGGAGACACAGACATGCCCAAGTTTACAATACAGATACAATAAAGTGCTTCCACAGAGGTATTTACAAAGTGCAGTGGGAGCCCGGGTGACAGGGAAAGAGCAGCTGTTTGGAGAAGTCAGGGATATCACAGAGGAGGTAGCCACCGAGCTGAGACTCCATCGGCGATGCAGAGCTCGCCTTGGAGACAGGCAAGCAGAGGGAGCGACAGGCGCGAAGACACAGAGGCCCCAGGGCAACTTGAAAGGAGCAAGCAAGTTTTCTTGAGGCCAGATTGCAATGGGGATAAAATAGTAGGAGGATGAGGCTCCGCAAGTCAGGCAGCTCTAAAGCCAGGACGAGCCTTACGGCCCTTCTTCCATTTATTCTGCAAACACTAAATGCTTTGTTCCAGACCCTAAGCTAAGCACTGGGGCTTAAAATAGAACAAAATAGACACAGCCTTGCCCTCGTGGAGCGCACATTCTAGAAGAGAAAAAGGCAGAAAGTCAACAAAAAAATAATATACAGACTCAGGAAACTGTTACAAAGAAAACATACAGGGTGCTGAAAATAACGTGGTCTGGGGTGGGGGTAACAATAAGCAACTCTCGGAAGCAACCTAAAACAGACACACAGGGATGACAACTCCAGCGGTCCCCATTTGCACCCCCTCTATGCCGGGCACTGTGTAAACACTTGGCAAACAGCATCTCTCGGAATCCTCACAACTCTATGAGGTAGGTTTTATCATTCATATTTCACTGAGGAACAGGCTCACGGAGAATTCAGTAACCTGACAAGTCACACACAAGTGGCCAGAACCAGGATTCAGACACCGGTTCTTCTCATTTCAAAGTGCTTAACCTTGAAATTTACAACTTCACACAAAGATAAACGAGAGATTTTGATCAGGGAAGACATAGGCTCACACTTCCCTGTTTTGAGGATCACTCTGGTAAAGATACGAGAGGAGCGGAGAGTGAAGGGGAGTGGACAGGGGAAGCCACTCAAAGACCAGAGGGAGGAAAAGTTAAGCTGAAGTCAGTGGCTGGGGCTGGGGGAGGATGCACAGGGGAAGACAGTAGGGCTAGTACAGTAGTTCCAACAAGACTGACAGGGAAAAACGACTCTAGAATCACTCCTGGACTTCCGCCTTGCACAATGAAGCAATTGAGAAATACAAGCTGGGCAAAGTGATTTGCTGACTTTCATTTTAGACACAGCCTAGGGGTATACTACTGGGAGGATCCTGGGCCTATGGCAAGGTCCCCAGTAAGACACCACTCAATGGCTTTCATAGTCTGTTCTCTCCCTGTGCAAAGTATACAAGAAAAGAAAAATCTAGTGTGTACGTTGTGATTTTAGTTTTTTTAAAAAAAATCTGTTTATAAAAGTACATCTACCCTAGTTGAAATTATACTCTAAAATATATGATCACCAAGATAAAAACACCCCAAGGTTATTATAAATGAAGAATCTAGGGCTTGGGGAGGAGGGAAAAAAGTCCTTTGGATATCTATCCTAATTAGTCATACTAGCTCTTTAAAAGAGGTCAACATTCACTCCACAAGCCCAGCCCATTTGGGGCTTTCAAACATGCCAAAGAAGGGCACTGCGCTTCCTGTCCCCTTCAACAGCTTCCTGTCCCCTTCAACAGTCCTCCCAAAGACGGCAGGACTGCCTGCCCAACCACCAACAGGGCTACTCCTCAGAAATACATGGCCTATCACCTGAATATAAAACTGAGAATTCCAAGATATGTTACCAGTTTGATAACAAGGGTCTAGAAACACAGCAGCCCCAACTTAGCCAGTCATATTCCTTTGACCACCCCCCTCCTCTTTCCCTTCTTTAGGATTAAAGAGAGCTGGAGGTACTGGTAATTAAATGTACACATGACATGGACACATAACTGGTCACATTCTTGACCACATCATTTTAACTCTAATTGTTTTTGATTTTGTTCTTTTTGCAGTGCCAAAAATTGAGCCCAAGGCCTCACACATGCTAGGCAACTGCTCTACTGGGTCTAACTTTAAATGAAATCAAGATCTGAAGTACAAAAATTTTTCCCCTAGAGTGACAATATTTTTGCTCCATTTCTTACAATTGCTTGCACTTGCCTATAACCATCCCTCCTGTCTTATTGACAGATTGTGTTCATTTTAACACTCACTGAATAATGTAATGCCACCTTTAGTATTTAGGTATCACAAAATGGTAATAAAGTTAGGCTTGTGAGAGCTTTAACAGAAAGCAATGTTAGTGTTTTGAAGATTGGATATGGATTAGTAAAGTACTCAATCTGATTCGTAAAGCAACTCTGTCACCACGGTGAGGGGTCTGTCCTGCATCTGTTAACTTAGTAACAAGCTAGTGGTTATGAAAAAGTGCAAAACATTCTAACAAAATTACAAACATGGACTTCAAGTGACACCTAAAGGGTATCTGTGCACATACTTCATGCCACAGGGGAGAAAGGGTCTTGCTTTTACAAAATTATCAAAGTAGTTGTTAGAGGAAAGAAAAAAAAACTGCACATGCCTGGTGACAATGTAACACTCCTGGTGAAAGCACAGTTCCCACGCTGTCCAGAGACACACTGCAAAGCCGTGAGCTCTTCTCCACCACCTCTGACTCAAATCGAAGGCCCAGGGTCAAAAGGTTCAATGTGTATCAGGGCTACTCACTGTGTGTGCTTTTTAACAGAAAGAATCCAATCAATCTGTGAATATAATCATTTATTTGTCTTTACAGTGATGATGGAAGAATGTACAGGTGTCCTCTTTCAATAAAGTATAAAAATCTGTTTATATACAGTGAAGTCATCATAATCTTTAATTGGGGAATTTATTTGGTACTCCTGATCTGTTTATAGTAAAACTGGGGCGGGGGGACAAATCTTTCATTTAAGTGCTACATTTCCAGTAGATTGCACCTGGCATCAAAAGCTCTGCTTCCTCTTAAGGGTCCTGCTTGATATTACAAAAGACTAATTTTAAGTCCTAGGACTCAAAATAAACATCATTTTTTGAATAATAGATATATACATCAAAAATACATCTAAAAAGGCATTGGTTAGTGCTATTAAAAAGCTCTATGTGCTCGGGTACATTTTTTTCTTACAGGCAAACCCAGTGGAAACATTTTTATTCAATTTCTAGGAATTTTCTCTTGGGGAAAGTCAGTCGAAAGTAACCTGTAAGGAAAAAACAAACAAACTTAAAGTGAGAAGTCAGCAAAGTATGAAAAAGTGATCAGAAGCTACATCTCATTTAGATATATATATTTTTTAAATCTTGATTAAGCAGTTATAATACTTTGTATGTAAAATTTCAATAAATTCATACATCAAAAAAGTCTCAATATATTCCTTCATTGTTCCAAGTATTTTGAAAATCTTTAATCCCCATTTAATTTTCAAAGAACCCATATTACACTTTGTATATTTAGGTAAATATTTCCTGTCTACAATTAACTAAATCAGTATAACAAAAGACTCAGAGAGCATACAAAAAAAAGCATAATTACCAAACATATTTGGAGAAAATTTCTCCTTAAATCAATAATCTATTTATACATCAATCTGTATTGATTTTTTAAAGCATTTGAAGATGATGGGTATGCACTGAGTCTTAGTGTTGATCCTGATTGAAATGGCTCTGTGCAATTTATCTGTGATATATCCCATTCGCAGCTAAATATTTTAACAACTTTGTTTCCTTAGTTACCTACTTCTTGGCAAGCATTCCTAAAATGATCCGAAGGCATGTTCCCATGACTGTAAAATTTAAGCAACGCAGTATTAACTTGTTATTAAACTAGCTAAACAAACAAATGCAGGTCCACTTTGTTAATAAGTGACATTGTGAGAAAGAACCATGACAAAATGAGACTGACAGACCTGAAGAGAATTTTAAGTTAGAAGACTCAGGGTCCCTCTCTTATGAGCCTCAGAAGTTGGCCATGTCCCACCCTTTGGCAAGTTAAAAGTCTACCTATTCTACACATTATGACTATAAATTAAGTCATGTGGCCAGGCTCCATTTTCTTAAGCATTTAAGGTGCAGATGAGGCTAAACGAGTTGAGTAAATGAACTCTAATAACTAAGAAGTACTTCTTAGCATTTCAAAACCTACAAGTTTAATTATATCATGCTCTAATCATGCCACTCTCAAGTTTAGGATATGAGACACAACATAAGCCCAAATAACAGCCACTTTGTGAGTGTGAGAGTGTGTGAGTGTGTGTGTGTGTGTGTGTGTGTGTGTGTGTGTGTGTGTGTGTGTGTGTG